GCTTTCCCAGGGCCCCCGCCGCCCGCCTGCCCAGCGCACCGTCCGGTCCGCACTGGCGGGGAAGAACTTGAGCGTCGGGAAGCTGTGCACTTTGACCGCCTCCACCTCGTTGGCCGTCGAGTCCATCTTGGCGATGACGATGTTCTCATGGTCCTTGTACGTCTCCCCCAGCTTGTCCCAGATGGGAGCCAGCTGCTTGCAGTGCCCACACCACGGGGCGTCTGGAAGCAAGCAGCGCTGAGTCCCGCTGGGCCGGAGCCATGCCCTGCCCCCCCCACCCCGCCCCCAGCCCCAGGGACCCACAAGCCCGGGAGGCTTCACTCACAGAACTCCACAAACACGTTCTTTTTCTCGTCGAAAGCCACCTCCTCGAAGTTCTTCCCCACCAGCACCTTCACCGGCTGCTTGTCCCAGTCCTCGGGCAGCTCCTGGCTCATCAGGTGGGGCTGGAGGGCGGGCGGGCAGGTCAGGGTCTCCGCGCCCAAGGCCCCCACCTGACCCCAGCAGGCCACGCCAGGAGGGCTGCTCCCCACGCAGGGGGGACAAGAACGGCCACTCTCAAATCATCCGGGGGCCTGCCCTCAGGACCCCAGGCTCACGGTTCAGACCCGGGAAGACGCAGCCGCACCAGAAGCGCGAGGACGCCAGCCGCACAGCGCCCACCTTGATCTTGCCCTCCAGGAAGCGGTGGCAGAAATCGGTGATCTTCTCCGCCGTCAGCTCGTCCGACTCGGGCTTGTACTTGGTCATCTCCTCCTCCAGCGTGATGAGGCGCACGGCCGGGCACTCCTCCTTCTTGAGGCCGAAGAACTCGAGGATGCGCTGGTTGTCGGTGTGGTCGCTGTCGATGAATATGAACAGGATCTTGGGGGAGAAAAGGCACCGTGAGCGAGGCAGGGACGGGGTGCGGCTTCCCTCCCCGGGCCGACCCCGCCAGGCCGGCCGTGGCGCACCTTGCCCTTGAAGCCCTGGGCGGCTTTCTTGAAGTTGCTCAGTTTGCCCTCGTAGTCGGCCACGCTCTTGGGCAGGAACAGCAGGATATGCGTCTTGATCTCGCCCCCGAAGATCTTCGGGGCCGTCTGTCACACACACAGTCACCGGGCTCAGCCCCGAGCTCAGCGATGGCACTGGGGGACTCCTCGTGGGGTCCCGGGGCGCCCCCACCCCCGCAGCCGCCCTGGCGGGAGCCGCACCTGCTCGGTGAACTCGATGACCAGGGGCAGCTGGTTGTGCTTGATGAAGTCCAGCAGCTTCTCCTTGGTGACCTCCCCCTCGAAGTCGTTCCGGCCTTCGTCGAACTGTGGACAGAGGAGGCCTGAGCACCGAGGGCTCCCCACCCGCGAGCCGCCCTGGCGGGAGCCGCACCTGCTCGGTGAACTCGATGACCAGGGGCAGCTGGTTGTGCTTGATGAAGTCCAGCAGCTTCTCCTTGGTGACCTCCCCCTCGAAGTCGTTCCGGCCTTCGTCGAACTGTGGACAGAGGAGGCCTGAGCACCGAGGGCTCCACCCACACCCGCATCCCAGGCCGGCAGGGACCAGCTGCCCAGACTCGCCCGGGGGCTCCCAGGAAGCCAGCACAGCCTGGGGCCTTGCTCATCCCAAGTTAAGGCAGCCCCTCAGCCTGCGACCACACCCGAGGGCGACTTCCTCATCACAGTCAGGTGTCAGCAGGTGTCAGGTGCCTGCTGTTTGGGGGGGGGGGGGGCGCCGGGGTCCCCCAGCCCGGCCTGTGCCCTCTCGCAGCCCACTCAGGCAGGTGTGAAAGGGACCGCAAACCTAAGACATCACTCCCTCCACTAAAATGCTGCGAAAATTAACGTTCAGGCAAGTCCCGGCGCCACCCGACTCGGTGCCCTGTGCCCGCGTCCGGCTAGCAGGTGTGTGGGGGCCCATCACGCCCTGAGCCTCGAGGGACTTGGGAGGAGCTCCAGGCCTCTCCGCTGCTCCTGTCGCTCTTCCTCCAAGTGCCTCAGAAAAGCAGACGGCACTCCCACCCCCAAAACTGCACACGTGGAGGACAAAAGGGGCAGGAAGCCACAGCCAGGACTCTGCACAGAGGAGCAGCTCTGGCCCATCAGGCACACAGCAGGCCAGTCCTCGCCCCGGGCAGTGCGAGGCCCAATTAGAGGCAAACAGGCCCCCTCCTGGCCGCTCTGGGCAGCGAGCACTGTCTGCCCAACGCCATGCTGGGCGGCCACCACCAGGGGCCACCGGACGCAACCTTGAGCCGCAATCTTTCTGGTAACGTGGCCACATCACACTCCGTTCACCATCGACTTCAGTAACAACCCTCGTTTGGTTGGGGCCGGCTGCAGGAGGCCGAACCCCAAAAAGGCCAGACACCACAGGTGGTGGAGAGGCGGCCCTACCAGCTCCAGTGCCCCAGCTCCCACAAGAAAAAGACAGACGGAGCAAACGCTCCGGACGCTCAGCTCAGACCCTCGGTCCGGGCTGTGACAGTGACCTGCCCGGACGCACGCCGAGTGTCACCGGTGCCACCGCGTCCCCGCCGTCCCGGCCAGTCCTGCTGGCTCAGCCAGGTGGTCCCGGGGGGACAGGAGGACCTGGGGTGAGCTAAAGGCCAAGACAGCGGGGCCGAGGGGCTGGGAGAGACCTGTGGGGCCCGGGCCTCACCTGGCCGCAGCCGAGACCCTGCCGACCCATCAGCCTAGGCCACGGCTCAGCCAGGCTGCCTGACACAACCGTGCCGAAAGCAGACCCTGCGGCCACCGCCCTCGCTGGCACCGGACCCCAGGGTGCGGCTGTGCCCAGCCACATGGACACCAACATCAGCTGGCACCAACTCTTGCAGAACAAAAACAGCAGCTCTAACCTTCAAGGACACAGAATTGCCCAAACCCAGGACCCGGTGTGAGAATGACGCCCTGAGGTCAAGAGGGATGGCAAAGAGCCCTCGCTGGTGTAGCGCAGTGGGTAGAGCGCCAGCCTGCGGACCAATGCGTCCCGGGTCCGATTCTGCTCAAGCGCACGTACCTCAGCTGCAGGCTCCTCCCCAGCCCAGGCCCTGGTCAGGGCTCGTGCAAGAGGCAACCAATCGATGTGCTTCTCTCACATCGATGTTTCTCTCTGTCTTTCCCGCTCTCTCCCACTCTCTCTCTCTAAGATCAATGGGAAAATACCCTTGAGTGAGAATTTAAAAAAAAAAAAAAAAAAAGGGATGGAAAAGTGTAACTGGGGCTCGTCTCCCAGCCTCACAGCAACTCACAGCAAATCTCAACCTAAACCAGTGATGGCGAACCTATGACACCTCTGACAGGCGAACTCATTTTTTGGGTTGATTTTTCTTTGTTAAATGGCATTTAAATATATAAAATAAATATCAAATATAAGCCTTTGTTTTACTATGGTTGCAAATATCAAAAAATTTCTATATGTGACACGGCACCAGAGTTAAGTTAGGGTTTTTCAAAATGCTGACACGCTGAGCTCAAAAGGTTCGCCATCGCTGACCTAAACTCTAGGACAGATGCAGGGCTCTCATGTTCACACCTACTCAGCCTCACCCAACACTTGAGTTTTCCTAATCAGATGCTAATCACATCCTGGCAGGTTTGCAATGACAACGACCAATCTACTCCCTTCAGGAGACACTGCGGGTATCCCAGGAAAGACAGAGCTGTAAGGACCCGAGTTCTGCCCAGGAAGGGCCCACAGAAACCCCCAAAGCCTCGCCCGCGTCTTCTCTGACAAACTGGACAGCAGCCCTGCCTCTGCCCTGATACGCGGCCTGCTCTCCGGCTCGTCACAGCCCCCCCCCCCATGTGCTCTCCACCCCCCAATCCAGGCCCAGTCCCGTTCCAGGAGCAGGGGTGCTCGGCCGGCCCCGCCCCACCGGCCACGGCGGAGATGAAAGGCAAAGCCCGCCTTGCCACGTGGGTAACATGCAGACACGGATCCCGCTGTGTCCAGCAGCGGTGGGCAGTGGCCGTGACATCAGCAGCCCCTTTACCAACCAGAGGGACAGCAGGACGAGGGCCACGGGAGCCATGGGAACAGGCTATGCCCACAGGTTGGGAACACGCTCCCCAAAAGCGAATACCAGGGGTCCCCGTCTAAGGAAGAGGTTTTAGAAGCGGAAACAACGTTGCACCAGGGAAAGTGCAATCAACTCAGCTACTCAGGGTGGTTACAGCCCAGCCTGTTACTAGGTCCTCCACAGTAACAGAGCTCACACTGCACGCAGCTCCGCCTCCTGACAGCAGGGCTGAAGGCCAGGCCAGCGGCGCGTAGGGCCTGATAACAGCCAGGCTGGCACCCAGCAGGCCAGCGGCGCCGGGCAAGGTTCTCGGGGAGCAGCACCTGAGGCACCCCCAGTGCAGCACCTCACCACCAGGCAGAGCTGCGCAGGCCACTCACCTTCTTAAAGAGGACGACCCCGTCCTTGTCCAGCTTGTATTTGGAAAACACATCACTGTTGGACGTGATCCCGAAGGGAATGTCGTCGACGGCCTCTGCTGCCAGCAGGAACTGCTTGGCAAAGTCCGACTCCACGTCCTGGAGACAAGAACCAGAGGTGGCCCCATGCCCCACTCCACGGACGCCCGTCCGGGTCAGCAGCGGGACAGGCCGCAGTGCCCAGGCCCCGGGGCCCCCTCCAGCGACAGGGGCTGAGGTGAACCCCAATCTTCACCTTGAAGAAGCCGATGACGGCCACCTCGCTGGACTCTACCAGGGCCTCCGCGGCAGCTCCGTCGGGCAACGTGGTGGCCGCAGGGCCCGTGCGCTTCTTCAGCCAGTTCACAATGTCGTCAGCTTCTCTGCCAGCTGCACCAATAAAACACACACACATGCAGGGTCCACTGAGGCGGGGCCACCGCCAGCCGCGCTCTCCGCCAGAGCCCGAGCGAGACAGCCTCTCGCCCAGAAAGGCCTCGCGCCGCACACCGGGGCTCAGGGCGGCCGAGCACGTGGGAGGCCGGGGCCATGCTTCACGGGCAGTGGCTACCTCCCTCTGCATTTTCTAAATTTTTCTTGATGTTTGCATTCATTAGACACACACTTTCCCCTCAGCGGCCTCACACTAGGCTTTGTCTTAATTAGAGATGTTCTAGGGTTTTTCTTAAAGTCACACGATGCCCGTTTTCCCTGTAAAAACGGGCTGAACCCCCCCTGGCTCCCTGACCTAGGCTGGCCGGGCGTCCTGGCCCCTCACAGCCCCTGGGCCAGCAGGATGGCTGTCACCTGGGGGCCACAGAGCAGAGAATGAAAAGGAAGACGCCTGGTCCTAAGTCCCCTCACAGGCTCTGACCACCGGCCCAACGTGGAATCTCACGTTTAAAAGGATTCTGCCGGGGGCAGGGCGGAGGTCAATGAGGAAAACACGGGGACGTCTGTGATACTTTCAACAATACGGATCAATTTTAAAAAAAGGTTCTGCCTGCAAGTGGTAGCAAAGCGGAGTCCTAGTCACAGGAGGGAAGGGAGCAGCCTCACCCACAAACCCCAGGGTTAGAAGGAGCAGGGTAACTGGACCAGGCACTTCCTGCTCCAGAAGTGAACACGGGACTAAGCAAGCAGCAGCCCGGAGCTGCGAGTGTCAGAATTCACCAGACGGGCTGGGCTGCTGGGGAGAATGCGCTGAGCCACGGAACCGGTTCTCTAGGCGAGAGCCTCCCTTCACCACAGGTGCTGCCCGGGCTAGAGGCCCAGCCCGTCCACGCAGCCCGAGCCAGCACGCAGCGGCTGAGGCGGACGGAGCTGGGCTTGGATTCGCGTTCTGCCCTGACAGCTGTGCCTCAGCCGTCCCAGCCTCAGCCCTTCCCAGCGAAGCCCCTCAGCGCTCAGCACAGGCACAGTGGACGCCAACGCTGCCCTGCCTGCTCCAGCTCCCTCTTCCTGCCGTCCAACCCCGAGAACGCCCCCTCCGCTTGGGAGGTTCTTCAAGGACGAGAGCGTTCCTGAACTAGAACCAGACCGAGAGCTAGGTCCAAGGCCAGGTTCCCTCCAGGTTTCTGAACATGCCCCCCTCTCCCCGCCTCAGCTGTCTCCCAGGACGGCAGGCAAATCCCAGGGCGGCGAGAGCGGCGAGGGCGGCGCGGCCGGCCCACCTGTGTACTCTCTGGGGGCAGCCGTGTCTCCATTCTTGAAGAACTTGATGGTGGGGTAGCCGCGGACGCCATACTGCTGGGCCAGGTCTGACTCCTCCGTGGCATCGACCTTTGCCAGTCTGATCTCAGAGCCTTCGGCCTTCAGTTTCCCGGCCGCTTTGGCATACTCGGGGGCCAGAGCCTTGCAGTGGCCACACCAGGGGGCATCTGCAAGGAAAGCCAGAGGCTGAAGAGCAGGGACCGGGCTCCCTGCTCCCCCCTCCTGGGCACTCCCCTCCCCGCATATCTTATCAGCTCACCACGATAACCCTCTGAACGTACAAGGCTGGGCTGATAGCGTGGTCCTCTTGGGCAATATGGGGACAGAGGCCACAAGTGACAAGCCACCGCCCCCCCCCTCTGCTTTGTCACCGTTGGGCACAGGAAGACCAACTGTTTCAACGATCAGTGACTTCCTACCACCTGCAGGTGGGCAGCGGGGCCGGCCTGCCCCTGGAGCTTCCCTCTGGGAAGGCGGAGAAGCTCAGAAGCCAGGGCCGCCCGCATTCGGACCGAGTCACTCGTAGGTGATGTGACACACATCTGGCACAGCTTCCGAGCCTCAGATCCACAACCGGGTCTGTATGCAGCGGTGGGAACCAGCTGTGCCTGTGCCCAGGTGAGCAGCTGTGCGGGGCCTAAGGTCTCCAGCCCAGACAGTCGGGGCGTGAACACGTCTGAACACCAGGTTTGGGTCCCGGTGAGAGCTGTCACCCGCTGGAGGGGGTGTGGGCAGGGCCGGGGCTGGAATCCCTGGGCATTTTCTAGAATTCTGGGGAGCAGCTATGTGGGGGGGGGGGGCCGGACCCTGGTGAGTTGCTTTGTATTTGGGGCACCTCCCACGGCCCACCCTGTTTTTCTTAAAATAAGAGAGGGATCTGCCATGGAGATAGGTGTCAGATACGCAGGCCGTCCTGGCTCTCAGCCCGCGTCCAGCCGGGGCAGGAGCGAGTCCCCAGGGCACCGGCGCACAGGGACGTGAGCCGCGGGTCCCGGGCCGCTTCAGTCCAGGCTGAGCCTCCCGAGGGGCTGGGAGGCGGCGTCCACAACGCTAATAGCCCCGAGGACCCAACCCGCTGCGAGGCGGAGGGAGGCAGGCAGGGAGGGAGGTTGGGGACGGGTGCCCGGCCCTCTCTCCGCCTCCTCCCGCCGCGAGCCACCAGCTCCCGGTCCCCGTCCCCACCCCGCGGGGCGGCGGGCCCGGGAGGCACTCACAGAACTCCACCAGCAGGTACTTGTGGGCCGCCAGCGCCTCCTCGAAGTTGCCCTTGTTGAGCACCAGGACGTGGTCCTCCTCCTCGGGCGCGGCGCCCGCGCGGGCCAGCACGGCCAGGGCCAGGGCCAGGCGGAGCAGAGCGCGGCGCAGCATGTCGGCAGCAGGGACAGCGCTTCGGTTGGCGCCGCCGGACAGCGAGGCCACGAGAGCGCGCGCCGCCCGCCTCGTCCTTATAAACCCGGTCGCCGCGCGCGTGCCCGCCCGCGCCCATCCTCTATTGGCCGACGGACTCCGGGGCCCGCCCCCGCCGCGCGCGGATTGGACGCCGACACCACCTCCGGCCCGGATTCGGAAGAGCCCCAGAGGGCTCCTTCGCCGTCGCCCGGGATTGGCCGAGGAGCTCGCGCTCGCACTCTGCCCCGGCTTCTCATTGGCTCCCGGCGGAGAACTTTCTCCCCCTCGACTCGTGACTGGTGGCTTTCCCCACCACTTTCCCGGTTCTGGAAAGGCTGCCACCTGCGGAGGCCCGGGATCTGCGGCTTCTGATTGGCCAGGAGATGCGCGCACCCTGCGCGATCCTCCGTCGAACGTGGCAGTGGGTGGAGTCCCCCGCCCGCCGAGGGGCGGAGTTGCGCCGGGGCCTCCGAAATCCCTCGTGTTGCTTTCTTACTGGATCGCGTGTCCGTAACTGG